AAGTCCTCCCATCTCTTCCCGGAACAATGGAATAGTCTCCTCCCTATCTGGCTTCCCTGTTTCTAGCCTCTTTCCTTCTGATCCACCCCACTTTCAGCTGGCAGGGGGATTTTGCACACCCCACCGTGGAAATCTACTACTTAAGAACCTTCCCCATTCTTTCCTTCTGCTTTTAAGGTGAAGTCCATCTTCTTGGTATGGCTTTCAACTACCATTATCTGCTCTACATGACTTATCTCCTTCTTGCCCCATCAAAAACTCCAAATTCTACCCACACCAGTCAATGGATTCCTACTCCTAAAATATGCTTGGCTGTTTCATGCCTTTACCCAAGTGAACTTCTACTTGGGATGTTCTTTCTATGCTTGGAAACTGTCTCTGCAACCTTTAAGATATAGATCAAACAAGACTCCTACGTGAAGCCATCTCTGAGTTCTGCAGACCAAGTCGGTCATCCCAGGCTCTCAGAACACAGCACACCACTTGGTTTCTGTTCTTATTCGGTTCTGTTGTGTTTACATGCCCGTGAGCTCCTTGAGGGCAGAGGCTGTGTCTGATTTATATCTGCATTCCTCCTGTCCAACCCCCATGCTCAATAAATGTTTGATGAACAACTAAAGGAAAGACTGTTCATCACTGGAAAATTGTTCATCAGAGCCCTGCATATCAGCGTTGCCAAGAGATGTTTTCATCAAATGCAGTTTCTCAGTGTCAGTATCTAATGCTGTCCTGGTTCAGCCTGAAGTATTGGAAATTCAGAAGAGCTTGCGGGAGTTAGAGGAAATGTATTTTATTTGTTAAGCAGAAAATCAGGGTATGAGATGGAACACTAAGATATGCAAATGCCTATCTTCTTTGTAGGAGAACCTGGGAAAACACACCAGATTATTTTAAAATTAATTCAGCCTGAGTGTCTGCGGAGCTTAAATGTGGTCCTCAGGAGAATAAATAGTGCATAATGTGAAACGAGAAAGGAGATTTGAAATGCACCCAGGAAAAGCTCCTTTCAGCCCAACTTCTATACCAGAACATCCTAGTTGGTAGGATCTGAATGCAATTTGCAAAGATTAAAACCTGTTGCAAGAAAATTAGCCCAAGCACAAGACTTTAATCATTTAAGAGGCTCCTGGCTTCTTCACGTCTTGTCAACAGGAACTCCTCACCAATGAGGTCCTGAGGAGAGATTCCAGGTCACTTGATAAATATTGATCATTTTGCAGTAAGCAAAACTTTCACATATATTAATTATTAAATAGCAAGTAAGAGTGGCTGCTCTGGGTCTGCAAACTAAGAATTCAAAAATAATATTTCCAAACGGTTCCCTGTTGTAGAATGATCAAAGATATGGTTGCCAAAGCACTCTGGGGAGTTTTAATTAGACATATGCCAAAGTGGCTGAAAACTGCCCAGTCACCGAAGAGCTGTGTGCCGCAGACGCCTGCTTTGTTGATTGCTATGTCTGTTTAAGCAGGAATTGTGTGGGGCTGCCTTTTCAAGCCATGCCCTGGGATAAGGGAAGGAGGGAGCTGGAACTTGGGGTGACTTTGCCTCAAGAATGCCCATTTTACAACAGTGTTTCATTCTCTACTATAGCCAGGATGGACAGGCAAGATGGGAGGCGTGGGGGAGGGCTGGCCAGAGCCCCAAGGCATCTAGGTGTGCACAGGAGATGAGGCTGAGTTACTCCAGTGGGGACTTCAGAGCATGGGTGGGAAGGACTCTGTGAGGGCTGGAAAGAGGGTAGAAGTGTCTGGGTGCAGGTCTTGGATGTCAAAGCAGCCTGGGCTTCAGATTCAGCCAGTGAATCTACCACTCTCAGGCCATGTGATCTTGGAGGGTGACTTCATCTCAATGTCTCATCTTGGAGGTGGGCTTGCTGTGCTATTAACATCAAACGGTATAAGGCTGAACGCAGAAAGGCTGAGGCTCACAGGCAGAGGAGTCTGAAGAGGGCTGATGCTTACTTCAGTTCAGGAATACCCATGTCTGGATGACACCAAGTCCCCAGGGCTGCAAGTGCCCGGCAGGGCTGTGGCCTCCAGGGGCTATTCCAGGACAGCCCAGAGGCCACTGCTCATCCTCCTCCTGCAGTGATCTGAAGCTGTACTCTTGTCGATCAGTGGACTCCTGGTGGTGCCTGTCAACATTTCCAGCCCACATCACCAAAGCTGAGCCCCTAGGATTGGCCTTAGAGCCTGTGCTGAGAGGAGATTTTGGGGGATGACGCAGGCCACGAAGACCCCAGGGTCATGGAGGAGAGGGAGGAAGAAATGGCTAAACTTTCAAACTGCATCTCAACCTCCTGCTAACTCTTCATTCTGCCTCTTTCGTTTTCTAGAATCTTTCCTAATCCAGCTTCACAATCCCTGCCAGAGGGGGCTTTCAAAATCCTGGACCTAAACAAGACCTGGGGTCGCACATCCTCATCTCCCATAGAACCAAATCCACCAGGTCCTGTGGCCTCCAGGCCTGGTCCAGTTGCCCTTCTAGGCTCTTCGGCCGCTCCCCACTGTGCCCTCCAGGATTAGCCACCCTTTGACTCCTGGAAGCTCCCTGAGCACGGCCTGCTTTTGATGTCTCACAACTTTCACACATGCTGTTTCCTCTCCCTGGAATGCCCTTTACTCCTTCCAAAGAGACCAGGCTCCCAGGTTCTTAACATTCATTCCCAGTTAAGTACATTGTCTTCTGAGAAGCCACCAGCCCTGCCCACCCCTAGCTGCACCACCACCAACTTCCTGCACTGTTCCATTCGCAGAGGGCAGGGCAAGCTGAACCCAGAGGCCCAGCAGGTCTGGCTGAGGGCAGTAGAAAATGGTCCCTTATGACTCACATAGACCCCGAAGACAGTCTCAGGCATGAAGCCCATTTCACCCCAGCAAAGTCAGCCCCACTCACCTCCACGGAGCCCAGAATATGCACGCAGGATGCTGCTGTCTCCAGCCTACAAGCCTACTTTGCACCTAGTCCATCTTGAGAAACGGCAGCCATCCCTCACCAGGCATGTACCTAACTGTCCTCCCACACCACACACCCCAGGCCTCCCTCTGCCTCTCAACTTGGAGGAAAGGAGGGAAATGTAGCCCCATCCTCTGTCCCCTGAGCTGGAAATCTGGCAGAGGAAAGTGATGAAGGCTTCTGCCAGGCACAGTGTCGAGTCAGCAGCAGCTCCCAGCTGGCGCATCTGGTGTTTCCACAGAGAGGGAGGTGGGAGGACCAACACCCTGTGTCTCAAGCCTCAGCCCTGACCTCTGGCCTTCTCCCACGCGGCCACTTCCAACATAACTTCAGTGATGAGAAGTAAGAGAGAATTGGAACTATTTCATGACTAATGACCAGCAGGAGCACCTTGGGCATGTTCGTTAACTTCTCTGTGACTCAGTTTCCTTAGCTATGAGGTCAGGTGGTACCTATCACATCTGGTTGTGGTGAGGATTAAATGAGTTAATATATGCCTGACACGCAGTAAGTACTATATGAATGTTAGCTGTTATTCCTATTGGGACAGAACTTTAGAGTTTACAGCACATGCCAAAGGTTACATAGACAGGAAGGGGCAGGAGCCATGAGTCCTTTGCATGAGTTCCCTTTCATTGAACCCCTGACACTTTGCAGAGCGAGCTGGGACTCACAGAGCTGCCACCTGCATCCTCCATCTGCCCTCGGAAATGCTCCCATTTGTTTCCTGGGCTCCTCTCCACCATCTGCTTTCCTGTGTTCACACAGCCCTGGTTGAGGCTCTTGGTTCTGCTTTCTAACTAGCTCCTAAGTCCATGACCTTGTTTTGAACTTGCAGCTCAGTATTGACCTTCACCGTTTATTTACGACCTAAGAGTCTCTGTCAGTACTCTAACTCTGCACACCCACACCACAGTCAAAGGTGCCCTATGCCCATGGAATACGATGTAGCTGGGACTCCCCTTACCAGCACCCTTTCTACAGGGAGAGTAACTGGACGCCAGGACTGGAATGAAGGTATAGCCAGCTTCCAAAGTTCCTCGCAGTGGCCCCAGCAGCCTCCTCCTCACCAGGGGAGAAGCAGCTTGCCGGGAGGCTGGAGTCAGGGGCTCCTGCCACTCAGTCCCACGAATACAGGTGTTCCCTCCTGAACTTCCCTGGGAGTGTCCACCATGTACAGCCCCAGGCAGCCCTGAGGCTCCACAACCCCATGGGCTCCCTCACTTCCTGTTATTAACACTTTACCTGCTCCACCTGGGAGGCAGGCATCCCTATCTGTGGGTGAAAATGGATCCTACCTTAGCAGATTCCCTGGTGACTAGGAGACCTCTGGGCAGAGGCAGAAATTCTCCTCAAAGCTAGGTATCTAGATCCTTGGCCACTATTCTATAATGGGAGCTATGAGGGGCCAGTGAAGAGCAGGAAGTCAAATATGGGCCCCTGAATTAACAGAGACTTAATAAAGGAATGTCCCACGGTCACTAGTGTGAGGACTACCTTTTGCCAAATGGCCCCAAGATGCTGCCCGGCAAGGAAACTTCTTCTCCCAGAGTGACCCAATACTAGGCAGAAGGCAGAGAGGGTTGCAGATCAGAGACCCAGCACTGTCTACACCTGGGAGACTGGGGGCTCCATCTCGTGAGCAGAGGCTTGTATAGGAGAAACGTGAAGGTTTAAAGTCAGAAAGACCCGAGTTTAAATCCCAGCCCCACCCCTAGCTGTGAGACTCTGAACAGGGGACTCCCCTCTCTGAGCCTCAGTTTCCTTAATCTAAAAATTAAGTACAATAATAAAATCATTATAGTAAAACAACAACAGTAATAAACTCCCTCAAAGCCAATATCACAGGGATCAATAGTTAACACACGAGACCCACAGCACATGGTAGGTGATCGGCAAATCCCTGAGAAGCAGCCTGGAGCCACAGCCTCACTACTGCCAGTCTCTCTCCTTCCTCTCTCCTCCATCCCCTCCCTGGCCCCTGAGGCCACGCTCCTCATTTTCCAACACGGCTGCCACTGTGCCCGGGCTCGGGCTGTTACCTGAGAGAACTGCCAGTGAAGCTTCATCCTCTTGGCTTTGGCGTAGCTGCACTCGATGAGCCGGGGCCGGCTGTTGACGTCCACCAGGCACCGGTTGTCATCGTCATCCACCGTGGGGCTCAGGATGCCCACATGGATCTGCTGACTGCTCGTGTAGTACACGTTCTGGGGGCGGAGGGAGGGAGAGAGTGTGGATAAATGCCAATGGCCACAGAGACAGGAGGGTAGGTGGTGATTCTCCTGGGCAGCTGGCAGAGAGGCCACAGTTAGGGAAGACCCTGGAGTCTTCACATCCAGTGGCCTTCAGATTATTTTCTATTGCAAGAGACAAAAAGAAACCCTTTTACATTATGATCCAGTATAGTGTCTGGTCCACTTGTATAACTACAAGAAATAAAACACCCTTACATATGTAATATACACTGATCTCTATTCTAATCTTTCATTGGAAAACATTGATCATAACCTTTTAAATTTATTTCTTCACCCAGTTTACAAACCTCTCTTTTTTTTTCAGAGACAGAGTCTTGCTCTGCTGCCCAGCCTAGAGTGCAGTGGCGCATCTCGGCTCACTGCAACCTTCCACCTCCCAGGCTCAAGTGATTCTCCTTCCTCCACCTCATGAGTAGCTGGAATTACAAGTGTGCACCACCATGCCCAGCTAATTTTTGTATTTTTAGTAGAGACGGGAGTTTCCCCATGATGGTCAGGCTGGTCTCTAACTCCTGACCTCGTGATCTGCCCGCCTTTAATCCACTATTTACAGATTCCCCGATTTCCTCCCTTCATAAATATTTCATGTCAGATACTGTGCTTTGTCAGAGCAAAAGGCCTGGACGGCACCTTCAGGAAGCACAGTCTTGTGGGATGGGAGGTGTGTAACATCATTTCCATGCACACTACGACTGTGCAGAGCAGGAGGTGGCAAACTTTTTCTTAAAGGGCAGGTTGACAAATATGTTTGGTTTTGTGGGTGTGCTGGGGAGTCTCCAAGACCACCCCTCAGCTAGACGATTTTCTATGGGGACTCACAGGACTCAGCACATAACTGTACTTACTGCTATGATTTATGACAGCAAAAGGATACAAAACAAACCCAAAAGGAAAAGGAAAAAGAAGGGGAAACCAGGCCCAAGCTTCCAAGGGTCCCCTCTCGGGGGAGTTGCACAGGACATGCTCAATTCCTCTGAGTTGTGACAACACATGAGAAATGCTGTCTATCTACCGAGAAGCACATTAGAGACACAGCACCCACGGTTTTTACAGGGGGCTGTCACATAGGCAGCCTCTGCCTAGTATGCACCAAAATCCCAGACTTCCAGAAGGAAAGTGAGCGGCAAACCTAGGCTGTTTTGTTTGTATAATCAGATTAAGCACAGAGAGCCACTCTTATCAGTTCTGCTGGGAATCCTGAGACCCAGGCTCTTGGATGCCAACCTTGTAAGCAAGCCTTTCAGAGGACAGCAGCCAGGCCCGCTCTGCAAACTCCTTTCTACACAGAGGACCATACAGCCTCTGAAAACTCACTCTCCTACTGTAGTGCAAACACATCCCAGAAAAGAAAAACATGAACAAATGGCTGTGTTTCATGAACTCATCATTTACAAAAGTAGGAGTCTCCCATGGGCGGTAGTTTGGGCCTGGTCTAGGGGAAAGCCACGTGACTCTTGGCCTTCAACATTTTCAGCAACTTCCCTTAGCCATGATCCGTGGTTCCCAATCAGGGCTCCAAGTGAAAAGTCTTAGGGTTCTGTGAACTCTTCTCCTCACATTGCTAAAGGCATTAACATGCTGCCACCCTTATCATTAGTGCCCCCCTGCCCCAGTGCTTAGGCCCCAGAAACAAACCAAGATACCACACTTTTCCACTTTAGGTTAAATATTCAGGGTGTTCTCTCTGGTTATCTTGACATGTTCAAAAATTCTCACTGGCAAATATTTTTGATTAATTCAAAATGGCAAAATGATGTATTTTTTGCTTTAGTAAAAGAGGATGGTTGACAAGTACTTTTTAAACCTGTGTGCCAGGCCATAAAAGGGACAGAAGTGGAAAGAAGGCAGTGCAGATGAGGAGGGCGAGTAAGGGTGGTCTTTTATGGCAGATTTTTCCTGATGCTTAGAAGTCACTTTAGGCTCTTGGGAGGGGGTGGAGGGCAGGCAGGGTGTTCCCTTAGGAACAGTCAAGACTTCAACAGGAAAGAGATGACCCACTTTAGTAGGGGGAGACCTGAGGAGTGTGTAATAAAGGCACCATTTTCAAAGGTGTGGGTAGGGTGTCAGGGAACCACAAGGGATAGGATGGTTCCCTGGGGAAAGTAACAAGAAGCCGTTAGTACCCCTATGCCCAGCGGAATGAGAGGACAGAGCTGTCACCAGAACCTGTAAGAGAAAAGTCATGGAGAGAAAGCTGAGAGGAGGGCTTGGGGGTCATGGCAAGTGATGCTTAACAAACACCCCAAGTTCACTCTTTCCTCCCCACTTCAATCTCGTACTAGGTCAGGCCATTGGCAGAACCCAACTGGAAACCAGAGATTTCCATTGAAACGTTCCATAAAGTCAGCCTCTCAGGGTGGAGGGAGCTGGGTTGAGAGTGTGTCTGGAGGGAGGAGGAGAAGACGCTCATTATAGCTAAGATCTGCTCTCTGTGGTCACCTTACAAGTTATCAGGTTTGGCAAATCCATGGAAATTGACATCAAAATGACTAAAATGACTGAGTCTTCCAATAACAAAGGTGAAGGATTTACAGTGACCAAAGTTCTGAGCAGAGGCCAAATGTAGGATGCTCAGCTTCAATGTGGAAATGTAACCAGAACAAGAGGCAAGGGGAGCCTCTTCAAAGCTATCCTGGGCAAGGGGCGGTTTGCTCATCGGAATCCTGAGGCTGTCCATTGTGTGGCCAGGATTTCCAGGTCAGCACCAAAAAAAGCTGATGTCCTGTGGCTTCTAGTTTATTGGAGTTGAGGGAGAACTTGGCAACTGGTAGGATGTAGAAAATCAAACAGCCATAGAGTTAGGCATCACCTCTATTCAACTAACAAGTAATCTCTAAGTTGGGATCTAGGGTTACAGAGATGAGAAAATCCATGGTCCCTGTCCTGGAGAAGTCATGCCACTTTAGGGAAACCAACAACGTGTCAGGAAATAATGACCCCAATCACATGAATATGAGAAGTGCCCCTACTTCTTGCACTCACCTACCCCAACTCTCACTACTTTGAAAATAGGAACGAGAACCCACCACGTCCAGAAAGCCTGCCCTGAATATTCAACTGTGTGGGGCCTCAACCTGCCACCTGGGCCTCTCGCCAAAAGGTGCACACCTGTTTATGCCCTTGGGTTGAATGCACTGTGACCTCCTTAGGACACTGTAGCTCTTAATCTCCCTGCATGCCAGGACCCAGATTTCCTGACGTTTAGGGATGTGGGCTGTAAGACAAGGACAGTAAGGGAGCCAGTCATTCCCATGTTTTTCTTCTTCTCTGTCATCAGAGCCTGGTTCTTGTCTCCGGAGCAGACTTGGCAGACACAGGTGGCTACTCAGGTAACAGCTGAAATCAGTTTTATCCACTTAGCTGCTCTGAAGAGTTTAGGGAGATGCCAGGAGAAACGTGTGCACTTACTATCTGGTACAGCTGTCATCAGAGCTGTTTATTGCTCCAGAGTCTGGGAAAATCATAATAGGGCTGGACAGTTGTTATTTAAAAACAAAACAGCAAAGTGCATTTTGACTGGCGTAATCACGAAGCTGGCAGATCACAGAGGGAGGTTTGGCAAAGAGGATTCTCTCAAGTCCTCACACGGACATCTCAGAAGCCCAGCCTAGTGGATTAAATAAACCAATGGCTCAAACACAAAAAAGGGGAAAAAGTTTTGTACAAGTTGCCCCACTTTCAGTGCCTGCAGGCCCAGCAAGCATAGCTAAGCTTTCTGAGCAATGGAGACTCTGGAAGGTGTAAGGCAAGAAGTGACTTAGAACGGGGGAACGTTACAAACCAGGGGCTATTTGGAGTGCCTGGAGGCATTTTTGGTTGTCATGATGGTGGGGGTGGTGGGAGGTGTCTAGTGGCTGGTCAGGGATCCCACTCAACATCCTAAATGCACAGGACAGCCCCCCACAGCAAAGAATTATCTAGCCAAAATGTCAGTAGTGCCGCTGTTGAGATACCCCAACTGAGATAGCGTATAATAAAAGTTGACGTGTTTTTACCTCTTACCCTGTGCCAGACATGAAATAACTTACATGCTTTATTCTTGTTTAATCTTAGCAATAACTCTGTGAGGCAGGTACTAATATTATCCCTTACCTTATAGACGAGGAAGCTGAGGCAAGGAGACCATAAGCAATGTTTCCGAAGTCACACGGTTGGTGAGGAGCTGAGATTCACAGCGAGGCAGTTTAACTCCAGAGCTACTGGTGTGACCACTCACCTCCCTCACGCACCTCCCTGGGGTCATTCCAGCTCCAGCCTCCAAGCTAGAGGGGCAGTGAGGAGCCGGGAGAGGGCTTCCACTGTGATCCCTTCCAGTCATGATGGGGCCCTGGACTAATACAGTACTAGAGAGCTGGAGGGGCCTAGAATAAAAGATGCTACAAAGTTCTGAGACAGCAGAACTTTCCGAGTTGTAACTCGGAGCTGTAACTGGTCCGAGGTTGGGGAAGCTGTTTTCCTGCCTTGGACGTCTTACAAACCCCCAGGGCAGAGAAACATCATCCCTGCCCACTCAGCTCCTCCTCAGCTGCCAATGATTGATTTGGCTCATTCTCTACTCAGCCCCACACAGCTCAGCAGGGCTGCAAACCAGATCTCCAGCATTTCATTTTGATGCTTGCAGGAGGAAGAGCAAAATCACCTGCAAGGTAAAAGAATCAACACATCCGTATCCTGGATCTTATGCTAGCAGCATTTTCCTCTCCTCCAGGCCAGGGGTAGGAGCCATGACTGAGAGCCAACAGCTGGCCAGGGAGACCACAGAACTCTGGTTCACATTCCTGCCTTCGGAGCCACAGAGTCGAGGCTGGGTAATGTCCCCCTAGGGCCGGAGGTTCTCCTGACTCTGTCCCCTCACCTTGGGGCAAGGGCCCCACCCTGTAGGATACCCTGGTCTCAGAGCCTGGCCTCCAGCCCTCCGTAGGAGCCACGCCTCACATGTGTCAAGCCTCACC